CTGTTCTGGGCCTCTCCACAGCAGAAAATGACAATTGTACTGAATTTTGTTATGGTTAAATATTATAAACAAAAGAGAAGGAGAATGAAACTACCTGACTAATTTTAACTTGTGACCAGAGTCAGGGTCTGTTCCCATGTCTCCAGAGGAGAAAAACTGAAGCACTAACTCACGGTGCTACCTAGCATTTGCTATAATAATTTTCTATTTATAACCTAAATACAAAGCAGTGTCAGGTGATTTTAAGTAACTATGATCTTATAAAGGCTCTCATTCTAACATGAACACATGGCTCCACTTGAAGTCAAACAACCTTTTGAAGTCAAGAATCTGGCCCCAGGACAGGCACTCTGATACACTGGTCCCAAAATGTGTACCATATTATAAACCTGGGAGAACCAATGCAATTCATTCAGCAATAACACGAGTCCTCTTTGTGCAAGTTAAGTTACAGGTGGCAGCATTTTACAGAGCTCAGATCCTATCCAAAATTGTTTTTCAGAAAGGCAATGACATATCTCAGAAGTTACAAAATTATGGATTGTAGTCCCTCTGGCCCCAGTTCTTCACTACATTTGAGCTGCACTTGGACATAATGGACAGTGGTAGCCACAGGGAGCTGATTCTAGCTGTCTGATCCTCAGCCCTGACAAAAGCTGGAGCACAGGGGGCTTACTCTAACCTATGCTGCTTCTGCTGCTTCCATAAAAGTGGAGGATCAGGCATTATGAAGCTCAGCTCCATCACATACCCCTTCCACTCCGACATCCAAGAGCTACCTAGGCCTCCCCAAAAACACTTTCTCTTTCTCCTCCAGCCAAATGTGGGGTGAGGTAATTGGCAACAGACAGTGTGGTTATGCTACCTTCCCTAACTTTACTCCTACAGAATTTTCCCCTGGCCTGGGTAATTCTCCAGAGTCAGCCTGGACAGTAAATTTTTCAGATCAGAGTATCCAGCCCACTGTATCTGACTGTTCTAGCACTGGCTAACCTCTGGTTATACCATATAGATCTGAAAGGTATTAATAATGAAAGATTTCATTGATTGATCAAACAATAAAGCAGAGACCTGACAACCTGCAGATTTTTAGTATAGGTTCAGACAAAGACAACAGCATCAATAGATAATATATGTGATTAATGTGTCAGCAGGTTAAAATGAGCCCATCAGTTATGATTAAGGTTTAGCCCTGTTACGTTTTATAAAAATGTCCTGCCATCTCATGGCTATAACTGCTGTAATAAGAGAGCACCAAGACCATTCTAAAGAGACTATCTGGGAAAGTGAAATAAAATAGGAATCCAATAGCAAACTTCAGAAGGGATCAAATATTCACAAGCTGGGTTCTCTATTTGTGTTACTCTAGGAAGGTCAGGAAGCATTCTGACTGCCCCAAAAGACATTTTTTAAATGAAGTAAAAGGGATAAAGATTAGAGATGGGCAAAAAAGAGGAACATTTTGTGAAAAATTTTCATTAAATTTTTGAAATTGAAAACTTTTGGCCGACTGTTATAATGATCCAGAATCCAGAAGTAGAAGTTAAGTGCAGTACAAAGTGTCTTGCCTTAGACACAGATTGAAATTTCTCATATATCTTAAAAGATGCAATTGTAGCTTCATAACTATAGCTTTTTCCAAAAGTATCAAAACAATTTGAAACTCACTTAGATTAACAAAACGGGCAAATGAAGAAAAACTTTGCAATTTTGGATTTCTTTTGAATCACAGTGGTTGTAAACGTCATCTTTATCGTAAGATTCAATTACTGCACGCCTCCAAAGGTAGTGAATGAGCTATTAAGGCCAGGCTAAATCAAGGTATGCAAAGCTTCCACACACCCTGTACAATATGATGTTTGGAAGTTCCATAAAATAAAATACATTCATAATAATACTTTGCACTTTATATAGCAACTTCCATCAGAGGATTTCAGTGTGCTTGAATTAAGATTCACAACACCCCTGAGAGGCAGGCTGGTGTAATTTCTCCCTGTTTTACAGATAGGAGAAGATGAGAGAGAAATTAAGTAATTTGCTCAAATTCACAGAGGAAGTCTGAGGCAAAGCAGGAGAGAACACAGATCTCATAGTATCAGCATCTACGCTTTTGCCACAAGACCCCCCCTTCCTCTCTGTAAATGCCACTAGAGCTTTGATATACTGTAGTTCTGCCGTGTTCCATATGATACCATATATATGTTCTAGATCATAAGGCTCAATCCCATAAAATTGATAGACATATAGTTGAAAAGCCAAGAGAAGCAGAGCAGCAAAGGAGAAGGTGTAGGGATAGATCAGTGGTTTGAGCATTGGCCTGCTAAACCCAGGGTTATGAGTTCAATCCTTGAGGAGGCCATTTAGGGATCTAGGGCAAAAATTGGGGATTGGTCTCACTTTGAGCAGGGGGTTGGACTAAATGAGGTCCTTTCCAACCCTGATATTCTATTATTCTACTCTATGAGAGGAAAGTTACTACCCTATAGTTGGACACTGTTTCTTAAGGCAGTAGGTAGTCCTTTTCATATACCAGAACATATTTTTGATTTTGCAAACAGTTAATTTTGAAAATCAATGTGACTGCTTGCATTTCAATGTGTCAAATTTTCAGCCTTTCCACTGTACGTCTGTCTACCTTATGGACTACCAACTTTATGGGACTGGACCATATGTCCAGATCCCGATATATGTGAAGGCCAGTTCTAACATAAGAGCTTTACGGTAGTCATGTAGTAAACCATAATGTTTGCAGATGGCTGTAATAAAATAATTCAGGAAAGGAGAGGTGCAGGGACGTAAAGTCTTCAACGCTTCTTATATGGAATAAACAATTTGATCTGAATAACGCAATGTGAAACTCATTTTCAGCAGTGAACCAACCAGTTGGGTCCAGAATGTTGCTTTTAATTTTCTTCCTAATCCCATGTGCATTTTAACTTCCCTCCTATTTTTCTGTATGGGATTTAGCTAAAAAATTAGAACTAAAGTGTAAGAAGGACTGATAACAAGGGGCTGAAATTTATCTAAGGCACCATCAGTTCCTCAGACGCTAAATTTCCATGCCAAACGTTAATAGTTTTTTTAAAACATAATTTTTTTATAACTCAGTTTTAACAATACCACTAGCATTTTCTAAAATGTCTCTTCAAATTCCTTTTTATTTTTACCTGCAGCTTTAAGAAGATTACCACGGGCATTTCTGTAGGCTCAGAATCATGATTGTAGGGTGGAGGGTAATGTTACCCCACTGTTTGCTGTCTTTATTATGAGTCCTCCTGATTTAGGACAATAGGAACTGGCATGCAGGATCAGACTAATGATACTCCAGTATTCAGTTTCTGACAGTGATAAGCACCAGATGCTCAAGCACCAGATGCTTCAGAGGAAGATGCTAGAAACCCCATAATGAACAATTGTAAAAATACTTGCCTATAAGGCAATGTTTCTCAAAGTGTGGGATGTACCACCCCAAGAAAATGCAAAGGATATGGGGCAGAGGGCCGACAGACTATTAAATTGTAATCCAGAGGCTCAGCTTTCATTTTAAAGAAAACTCCTTCTCCAGCTGTTACGGCTGTGAAACAAACCTTCAAAATGTGAAGTGAGTGTAATCAGTTCAGAAAGGTCTGCCTGAGTTTGCAGAGAGCTTGATACACTAGCTCTGAGGTGAAATTTATTTCAATGGGTGGAACCTCAGATGCCAGTGATGATACTTTAAATGTCAACTTTGTTAACTGTTTTACAGCTCCTCAAGGCAGGTAAGAAAGGAGAGGAGGTATCACATTATAAAGATCTACAGATGGGTTTCCCGAAATATGTGTGTGTGTGTGTGAGGGGAGGGGGCATGAAGTACTAGCCAAGGGTGTGGGGACATGGAAGATGTTTTAATTGAGGTGTGTAGATTTTTAACCACACATAGTGTGGTTGAAGGAGAATGGGAAGGTGCGACTCATTTCATTTTCCTAAAGCAGGAAACCTCATGTTTTGGAAGCACTGTGCCAAGGTAAAAGTTTCCTAACCCTAAGCAGTTAGAGGTTGGCATCTTTCCTGAAACATGGTAACTGATATCACATTTTTATGTTGTCTGATGTAACTAGCTGTTTGTATTGTTTTTTGGAGCCCAATTCCTGTTTTTCTTCTTTCCAAAATATTTTGAATTAAAGTGTGTTCCTCTGTGAGCTTTTCATTTCCTAATCCAGTTCTGCCCTGGGCTCAAGTCAAGGGAACGATCATCTTCAAGGAGATATAGTCTATCATAGCCAATGTAAGTGGGGACTGAAGGGCTTTTACATACTTCTTTATTTAGGGTCCCATTTTACATTAACCTCCACCCGTTCTTCACTGTAGTCAATACCAACTGCACTTGGAAATAGTTAACAATTGCTATAAAATGAGGCAGTAAAAAGTGAAAAAGTAAGATGCAACCTCTCTTCCCTTTAGGCATCCCAGGCCAATGAGAGGGATTTACTCTCTTTAAATAGCTCATTGAGGGACAGGTTTTACACGTTACATTAAGGCAAAGGGAGTTTTTCTATTGATTTAAATGGTACGGGATAAGATCCTGAGTAAGATACAACAATATCACTCCTCATTCCAGACCTTGTAATATATTAAATTTCATTCTCTAACTATGCAACTGGGCCAGCCTTACTTGAAATTTGTTAATACAGGGATTTATCCTGTGAGCTACTGAGTGCCCTCAATTCCCATTGCTTTCAGTGGGACAAGATCTGTCAGGATTGGGCTCATAGTCTCTACATTGTATTTTGGGGTGAGCAAAAAAGATATTAAGATGCAACAAAACAAAAACAAAAAAGCACAAACAACAAATAAACAAGTAAAGAAAAAAAGTCAGTCTGAGCTAAGCAAAACACATTATTTCTTCCTTGTTGAAAGTCTCAGCATATGCTGCATCTTATGTCACAGAAGTGTACTCATTAAATATTATGAAATGTACAACATGCAATGAAAGTCTAACTACACATTTAAGGCATTCATACCTGTGTGCTCATATTTGTGTCGCAGAAGGGAACTGCTTTTCTGGAATGTTTTGTCACATAAGTCACATGCATACATGCCACTTTCTGTCTTCTTGATCTTCTTTCGGGACAGACAGGAGTCAGAGTCTGTCATGTCGTCTAGGCCTGACATGTAGTCTGGTGTTCCATCAAGCAATTCTCCCTGCGATATAACCAAATTGTTTATGTAAAACACTGTGCTTCCTGTATTTTGTGGCTTACTGCTGCATCTTGTCTTCCTACAGTATATAGAATTAGGGAGCTATTCTATAAGACTTAAAATTATAACCAGCAGGGGCCTGATCCTGCTAAAACTTCCAAGCACAGTGCTCAATACCATGACTAGTCTCATTGGCTCATGGGCTACTCATGATAATAACTATGCCCAATAGAAAATGTTTACAGGACTGGACCTTGCTACCAAGGAACATCTGCTTCGTTCACTGTCCCTCTTGGTCTTCAACTGCCTTAGAAAACTCTGTCTTCTTTTGAACACTGTGTAGTAAGAAGCTGTATGAATTATCTAAACAGAGAGTGTTTACGATACAGATGCTAAGTATTTCAGGGAGCAGGAAATGATAATGTAAAGAACTACATTCAAAGATCATAAAAGGTATTTTAATATCTTTTATGAAATAAATGTAAGGAACAACTAGAGATCTTTTCTGTCAAAACACTGAACCATAGATATATTCTGTATCTGTAGAAAGATTTTAATTGAATTTTATATTTAGGTACAAAATGTTATTATTATGCAATCCATTTAAATGTATGTCTCCCAACTAAAGGCCTCAAGCTATATTTTTATATTTAATTTTGTAATTTGAAATAGGGAATATTAATAACACTTTTTATCAATGTTCTATCTATGTTAAAATAGCCTTCAGCATTAAGCAATAATGAATGTGGATCAGTAAATTATTAAATTTCTTTATATTTATTTTGTCTTGATCCAAAGAGAGTGCAAACTTGCATGATAACATACATTTCCATTTGCTATCACACAGTTCAGTTTTCTTAGACTAGGTTTGCACTAATTAATATTAGAGAAGATTAAATAGGCTTAAATACATTTAGAAAGAGGGCAGATGTACTGTAAATTGGAATAGTGGAACAGCTGTTATGGAGGTGCAGTGCTATTTATGCTCCTATTGTGCAAAGAGGGATTACAGGCTATAACGTTAAGCCATACCTGATTTTCACATTTGAAACTATAAGACATTGTTAGTAAAATTACAAATGGAGCATAATAGGTCATAGGGGAATGTCCACAAATGTAAAAACTTATTCATCTATAATCAGTTAAACTCATTTAACTAAACTGTGTACATTATATTTTAATACATACACACATGTATATTCTTACACACTATGAATATCTGAAGAGGACAGTGATTTCTCTAGTCTAGACCAACCCTTTGGCACCTAAGTACCTAAGTGACCAGATCATATACCCTTTACTCATTGACTTCTATGAGAGTTTACCTGAGAAAGGAATATAGGATCATACCCAAGAACTAACAAATGTAACCCAAATCATGCCCCTTAGATATAAACATGGAGAGGACTTTACATGGAAATGGGCAGGCTCAGGTGCCACTTCCACAGACCATTCCTTTCCATTTCTGGCCCTCCTGCAAACCTCTGTCTGGTAAGTCAATGTAGGGGTAAGTAATGGGAACTGGATGGGCTGAGGGGAGGTGTAGGTTGGCCTGAGGCAGGGCCAAGGTAGGGATACACATTGTCCCTTCTCTGGCTTCATAGAAACTAGTTAAGAAAATATGGAGCCCTTCTTGTGGGTCTTGGAGGCTGCCATGAGCTGGGGGAACTTCCAGGCAGAGCAGTTCCAATGAAGTCATGGTGCTAGGGAGCCTATGGGACTTTTAGTGGTATAGAGCCATTATGGAGGTACAGCGCAGTGTTTTCTGTCAATGAGGATTCTCTGGGCCATTGTCAGGTATATAAAATTCTCATGGAAGACAAATATAACCTTAATGAAATTAAAAGCTAAACATTAAATGTGTTCATATTTCTTCTGTTTTGAATAAATGTTCCCACCATACTTTTCAATTTCAAGTTCAAGCTAAAATTCTGCTATGTCTGTTGGAAAGGTTTCATTTAACTTTGGGAACTATTCTTTTTATATAAAAGGACATGACAAGGGATACTGAAATATAGCCTTTCAAAACAAACCAATTATGACTATGTACCTGAAATCCTTGTTTCCGCTGGAACTTTCTCCTTTGCTGCATATCAGCAAAAGTAGCTGCTCCAGTTGGATAAGTATAGGCCATATGTGGTAGGAAGCTCATTTGATCTAGTCCTGGGTATGGTCGCAGCCCAGGAATACTGGTCTGGACTGGTGGCATAAAAGTGGCCGGAGGAAATGCGCTTTGTGGTGGGAGTGTTGTGTATAAAGGTTTGGCACTAAATGGGTTCATACCAAACACTGGGTTAGTGCTTTTATCCAGATTATTTGAATTAGAAAACTCCTTCTTGATAAAAGTCAAGTTCAGCGGCTCATCTGAATTTTCAGATGATGAAGAAACACTGTTGTGGTCTAAATTTATGCTACTAGATTTTGTTTTGTTCTTTGTGGCTATAACACTTTTGGGTTCCTTCATTTGTTTTGGTAAAGACAAGTCCAAAGGCTCAGCCTGAAGCTCCTCAGAGGAGAAACTGTTTGGAGTGTAAGAACTGCTATGGGAGTTTTTAGAAGATGTGGAAGAAAGATTTAAAGGAGAAGGAGTATTGCTCCTGGAGTGGTCCAATTTATCAACTGGTTTAATATTGGTAAAATGTGTAGGTTTTGTTAGCCTGAGAGGAGTATCACAATTAGTAACACTGTTGTGGAGTTCAGCTATAGATGGTGAAGTTATAGAGTCCACAGGCTTTACTGGAGATCTGGCTGACAAAGAGTCTTTAGTGGGAGTGTTAGTGGCAGCCAGCACCGCCTTGGCACTGGTCCTTTCCAGTGATGGTGACCTGGAACTTGAATACTGGTAGAATTTTCTTTGTTCAAACCATTCCTTCACAAATTCCTGAGGAAGGCCAACGGCAATGGAAATTTTCAGTAGTTCATCAGAGTTGGGTTCCATATTCATAGCATAATATGCTTTAAGTACAGACATGTGGTCCTTGTATGAATTGATGGTGCTAGTCATTCCTTTCTCAGAAAGTACTGATGACAACAGGAGGGCTTGCTTATCAACAAACACTCCAGGTTTGTTGGGAACCATGTTTTCATGAGGTTGAAGGACTGCCTTGATTTCTTCATTCATCTTACACAGGTAACGCTCATGCTGATGCAGGGGAATGGGACCAGGAAAGCTTTCTTTACAGAACTGGCATGAAAATGGAGTGGATATATTGTGGTTCTCTATCATCTTATCTTCAGTTACTAGATCTATTAAGGTTCGCAGCTTCTCTTTTTTAATATTACTGAGCTGCCTCCTTGAGTCTGTGGTCAAACTCTGGAGACAAGCTTTGGCTTCATTGACTTTTTCTAATGTATAGTCAATAATACTTTTAGTGGCACCATTATGACTCACTACTGGAAGACCCACTGGTGGAATATTAGGGGAAGTAACTCCTTGTTCCTCTGTTTGAGGGCATGGATCCTTCATGTGATAACCCTTCAGCTTTGAGATCTCTTCGGCCTTGCAGTCCATTTTCTGCCTGGAAACCGTGTTGTCCACAATCTGTAGGACCTTCTGCACCTCACTTAAATTACTGCCTATTGCAGGAAACCCAAGTAGTGGTGCTTCCATCCCTACACCTAAGTGCTGCATTGGACTTTGAGCAGAAGCATGAACTCCTAATGGGCTGGTTGCTCCAAGTCCACCATTCATAAAAGGACTAGCTCCACTAAACCCATGTGTGGCCATAAGAACCTTGTATTCATTGAAATCTAGTGGTTCTGTTTTAATTTTCAGTAAGCCTGTTTGCTCAGACATACTAAGTGGTTTGCCGTTCTCCAGCTTGTTTCTCAGCTGTGTGATGGCTGAATTAGTAGGAGAGGAAGATACAGAATTAGGAGAAGAACCCGTCTTGATATTGTTTCTCATTCTGCCATTTACAGAGATTAAGCCAATACATTTCTTGCTGCTGATGTGCGAACTGTAGGAGCCAGAATGGGAGAAACGTTTCTTGCAGTTTGGACACTCATATGGTTTCTCACCTAAAACGATAATTAAAACCAAACATTAATATATTATTTATTATTATTATTATTATTGTTACTGTTATAACAATTGATCTTATACATTTACTTAAATAGATATTGATGTTGCCACTGGCTAATAGGAAGAGAGAGGTAACGATCCTACCCCACTGATTACTTATTCTGGGTGCCTAAGAATCCTATGAACATGGCTGAGCCCAGCACCTCTCCCTGTATCACCTCTGTGGAATCTTCTTGTTTCAAGGTGATCCTAGCTTTTGTGGGGACTTATGCAAAATGGGAGTGATCTCACCTGGCTGACTCCATGCCTGTGATAGCCAAGCAATTCTGTCGCGGTTCTGTTAGTGATGCAGTGCTATTAGTGGCATTACATGTGCTGCTAAAGGAATGTATACATGGGGACTCTGGTTATGTAGAGCCCTGTCACCTCCTAGATACAGTGGGCACAATTAAAACTCATTTGTCACTCCTTAGTGCCACATATTCTAAGAGTAGATGATACTGTTATTGCAGATAGCTTGGAAAGTGATAGGTGAGTTTTTAATGATGTGCACTGTAGTTTAGGTGTAAGGCCTTAATCTTAGCACTTCTGAGGCCAATTATAAATCATTGTTTCCCATTTGACAATACAATGCCTGAAAGTCACCAGATTGACTGAAAAATTGTATTATTTGTCACATGTAGATAAGTCTTCTGCTAAGTAGTGCAGTCAAATCCATAAAGCTTAAATTCAATTCAGCCTTCTCAAAAATGCATTCAGATACTACAAGGATGGGCACTGTATAAAAAATTGGGTCCTGATTCAGTAATCACATCCATACAGGTGGACCTTTGTGGCTGGGAAGAGCTCAACAGGTCTCTGTGTGGACAAAAGGGTCACCTTGTAAAGATTAGATTTATGGATCAGGCCCCAGCCTAGCTAAATAGGTAGATTGATAGCTAGATAGAAAAAAAATGCCTTAGCTTGCAATATAATATGAGTCATTCCTCAGATGTCCACTATCCCAACAAATGAGCCATATTTCATTTATTTCCACTTGGGCATTTTCATTTTTTTAAAAATTTGATCCCTCCAAGAGCCAACTAAAACAAAAATTTCTGAATTCCTCTGACTCAAGCAGCATAACAAAGGATCTATTATTTTTTGTAACAAGCGTTATTATATCAAAATCTTACAGCAAGACCATGCTATTAACAGCATGATAAATGAGAATGAGTCAGATATTTTTTATGAAATACCTTAGTATCTCTAAGAAGCTACGAACAGAACTGTGTAAATTTTAAGCAATCTTTAAAACTCAGCTAATTAAACAAAATGCAAATGAGAACAGCAGCACCTCCGCTACTCACCACTGTGAATTCGCAGGTGTTCCTTCAGATGGTGTTTATATTTGAAGGCCTTGCCACACTCAGTGCATTTGAACTTGCGATTGCCTGCTCCTTGGGTCAGCATTTGGTGCTTGGAGAGAAAAGATTCTGATATGAATTTTATGCAAGAGGAACCAAGAGTTTTCTAGTTAAAAAAAAAACAAAATTAATTTAACTCTCTACTTATCAGGCAAACCAAAAGGTCTGCACGTACATTTATATGTCTCATCAGTGTTGCAATAAAAATCAAAATGTTGGCAGTAAACCGAAACAAATGCGAAAGTGCTTTCATATGAGCATTCAATATTTGCTTTAGAATTATTTCCTAAGTCTCTCATCAGAAATGTGTTGCTTTAAGGTATCTCATGATGAGAGAAACTGATCTGTAAAAATATTTGTGGTTCTTATTATTCCTAGTGTCTTCTAAACATGTGGAACGCCTCTTGTTTAAAAATCCTGTTTACTGCACTAGTAGAAAATACAGTATTACATATCAGATTTCATTCATTATCAAATATAAGCAACAATATCTTCAGCATGAAGCTGTAGCTGCTGGAAAATTTTTATCACAAACCAGCAGGAAAGATTTCAGCTACCTTTCTTATGGTGGGTTCTCTTCCCCCCCAGTGCTGTGCTAAGGAGTAGGGGCAAAACAAGAGAGAACTTGGTTGAAAGGACAAGTTAAAAGCAGCATAAAGATATAATCAAACACAGCTGACCTTTTTGAACAAGTGAGAAAAGCACTGTGACTTTGAATTAAGAAAAAAAATACAGTCATCCACTCTGGATGCTCAAGGTAGGAGGTCAGCTTTTTTCAAGTAGCAATGACACAAAAGCCTATTGCGAAAAAGACAGCATAGAAACGGTATGACAACTGCTAGGGTGTGCTGAATCTTCCCACATTCCTAGTGAGACAGATGGTGTTACATGGGACACAGGGAGGTTTGTTCAAACAGCAGCAACCTTCAAAGATCAAGCAGAGCCCAGCCCGCCGAGCGCCATTGAGGGACCAGCGCTCATATGTTGCTGAGTTGCATAAACAAACAGCAACAGCTGTTTTGTCTCCCCCCATAGCCCTCAGAGGACTACTATAAACTTTAGTTGTGCCACTGTTAATATGATACAATCATTTTAATTTACTAATTGTAAATGCCATGAGCAAATGAGGGGACTTTTCAACACCAAAGCTACCATTCATAATGCGCCAACACAATCAGACTCTTGCATGTGAAATTTCAGACAGTTATGTTGGATAAATATCTAGGAATTTTAACCCAGTGTTTTTAATAATATAAAGCAAAAGGGGGGAAAATCCTCAGATTGTGTTAGATTAAAAAAATTGTATCTGAGAATGTATTTGCCTACCAGAAAACCCTGAAAAGGAAGCGATCTGAGAAACTGCACCAGAATCATTTATATTGATTTAAGATCAAGGAAGAGATACTGTTCTCTTAAAAATGCTAATTGCAAAACTGCATGATTAGAAGATGTATGTTTGCCTAACTGAATTTACCTTACACTGAGAAAAATCTATCAAAAGATATATAGCTGATTATGATTTTTAGTTGTTTCAGAAAAATTAATATGGTATAAGGCCTATATAATTTGACACATGCACACACTCATTTATTTAAGTTTAAGACACACCAGTTGAGTTTCTATTACAACACTCCATAACACCCGTTATCAGAGGTAATTCTCTATAACAGAAGAAATAGTTTTCGTATAGTTTGTAAAAAGCTTTGGAATACAGTCCTTTTGAGTAATCAGTTTGCTTCAGTCACCTGTTCAAGACACACAGCATTGGCTTAAATGTAATTGTGAAATGAACTAAATAATGCAAAGCAGTAATGTTGTAAGATTACTTTCATCATATCAAGGAAAAATCATTTTGATTTATAACAGATATACTGGTAGGATATATAAATTATAGTGATACTGCAATCCTAATGTGTGTATATGTTATTGGTATACTCAAAAAACATAATCTATACATTTTATGGAAAGATTTACTCTAAAAATGTGTAATTTTATTTTAAAAACTAGAATACAAAATATGCATAATTTTATGTGCTTGAAAAGGTTATTCAAAAATAATGAAAAAAATATTAGTAGATCTTTTACTATGTCTTTGAGATCCTACTCGCAAAAATTGCGAAGTAAAACTAGGTGAAAAATGGAATTAAAATTGCTGAGATGTTTAATACTGTATAATTAAAATACCACAGTTTTGTTCACTTTTTGAGGAACATAAAAACGAAACTAAAGTCAAGTTAAAGTGCAAATAAAATTTCTAAATTAGAAATTAACACACTCATTCGATCGTGAACATAAGACTATTAAATCATATTAGAAGAGACCATCAAAAAATCATTTAGACCTCAATTAAAGCTATTACCATTAAAAGATCTGCATCTTCAAAATGCCATGAAAAATTAATAATGATTGCCAATCAAAGCAATATCGTTTCTCTAAGGGGTTATTATAGAAGGAAATCACTTAAAACCAACCCCCCACCTGATCTGTCCCTGGCTTGTGCGTCACCATATGCCGCTCGAGCTGGGTGCGGTAGGCAAACGTGTAGCTACACAAAGGGCAAGAAAAGTTCTCCTCATTCTTCTCGTGGCGGTACTTGATGTGCTCCTTCAGTGATGTCAAACGCTTGTAGCCCCGATCGCAGTAGGGGCAGGTCAGCAGTTGGGCAAAAGCATCTGGAGTTCCAGGTGGCAGGTCTGTAGCCGAGAGACAAGAGAGAGAGAAGCAGGCCAAAAGGTCAGTAAATCAATGGCAGCTAATGGGCTTATTGCCCAGGATGGTATGACAGGAATCACTGCAATCTGCTACACTAGAGTGCCATCATTTCAAACTGGCTTCAGAGCACACCAGTCCCCTTCCACACCCACAACAAACTTGTATGAATCATTTCGTACTGTGCTAGAAAATTAATTAAAGTCCTTACTCTCGCTTTTTGGAAGACTTAAATAGCTGAAAAACAAAGAAATATTTTTCTCAATCAATTGATGATTTGCATTCCATTTTAACCTGTTATATTAATATGACACCGGCCAAATCATTCTCATGGACACTTTTTGAATTATTCATCGAGAAGTAAGAGAGTTATGGGTCAATAATCCTAAATTTCTCATGTAAAAATTCAATAGTTCAGAAACTTAAAACCATAGAGAGAGCATTTTTCCTTTTTAAATTAAGCTTTAATTGTTCTTGCTCTTTATTTCATCTACAAAATAATTTGCTGACTAAAAAAATCACAATACACTAAAATTACAGTTCCAATATTTGCTCATGAAATTCCATGCCTCTGCAGCTGCTCTTCAATTTTTAAGGTAAACACCCAGGCATGTAGTGCATTTATAATTGCAACAGCTGCAAGAAGTCAGGATAGTGGCTAAAAATGAATTACAGCCTCACCATTTTCTTCTTGCCCATTGGCCTCTGGAGTGCCAAGGCGAGACAGTTCTTCAGGGGCTTCTGGGTAAATAATGGCTGTGTCACTGCGCTGTAGGTACTCTGCTATGCTGACTGCATGCCCATCTCCTTCCTCCAGTTTCCTTTTGGCAAAATATTCCTCAAAGTCCGACGTGCAATTTGCATTCTTAACTAAAATTGGGGGAAGGGAAAAAGAAGTGGTTTTGAGTGCATTTTCCCTGTAAGATTGGGTAAGTTTATATGGTTGTTTGCAAGAAATGCTGACACTTGCGCTGGAGCTACAAGTCTGTGGTTTGAGCCTGATGATGCTGCAGACTTTAGTCTCACTCGGCCTGCTCCAGCTTCTAACGAAGTCAATGGGAGCTTTGCCATTGACTTTGATGGAAGTAGGATTGGGCCAAATTACATAAATGAGACCATTCATGAATCAGGGAAGCAGAAGTCTACTGGGCCTTGATACTGCAAGTTATTTTGCATGGATGGACCTTTGGACCTCAGGGAACTCCTGTGAATTCAGTGGCTCTCTGTGTAGGTACAGGAGTCCACCTGCTCAGAGTAACTTGCAGAACTGAGACCTTAGGGACCTCTACTCTATCTGTTCTTCTTGCTCAGTTCCCACTGACTCCTACTAAATTGCGGATGCTCAGCTCTCTGCATAAGGTGCTCAGCACCTCACAGGTGTAGGTCTGTAATTTGTGAGTAGTGAAGCACACAACCAATCACCCCTTCAAAACTGCCTTGTCTTGTGCCATTTTATTTTTATTTTTATTTTTTTTTATACAAGAACAAAATGTTACTTTCTTTAAAATTCATAACATCAACCTTATTTTTCTTCCTGGAAAATTCATCTCTGGGTAATTTACAATGGGAAAATACATTGTTTAAAAAATGTGTTGCTCTGTACAATTTTACAAATAGAACCACATGTTTCCAGCCCATAAGTGGGATACAGAGCCTAAAACCACTTTTACAGTCAGTGCTGGAGTTTTGCTTTTTTTTTTTAAATGTAAACCTATTTTTTTATTGTCCGTGCAACGTCCATGAAATATAATATGTTCTCAACCACAAAATATTCTGTTGCTAACAACATGCATTTCTTCTCCCAGCATCTGAATATTGTAAAGTCTGGGACATTACAGACAAATATTAATGCAACCAGAGGAGAACTGGGAAATAGACCATTTTCTTTCTCTAATTTTTAAAATAAAGACAATGAGCGGTGGCAGTGAATTTCAGATAGTTATTTTTAACTGACCATAAATTAAATGAATAGTTTACGATCAATTACATTTTTAATGTATTTTTGTGTAGGACAAATAAGAAAGCAAAAATTGTCATATATTTGATTTTTCATGAACCAGTCAAAAGTAAAACAGGCATGATTCTACTCTCCTTCACACCAGCGTAAATCAGGAATGACTCCAGTGAAGGCAGTGGAGTTGCATCAGTGTAAAACTAGTGGGTCAGAAGAATCGGGCCCAAGAAGAATTACAACAGTACAAAACCAGTATGAGTGAGAAACAAACCAAGTCCATTGTGTTTTTGAACCATTAGCAGCTTTGCCTCAATTTTTCACTTTTTTACAAAAATGGAAGTTGCAGGCAAGAGTGGTGTGTTCTCTGAATGTGGAAAATTTTGCCCTTGGTAAAACAGTTGAACATTTCTGTTTTCCCCAAAGTAGAATTTTACCATATTTTAGTTATAAGAAATGGATAATGGAGAGAAATGATAAAATATATCAAATTTACCTAAAAACAAACAAACAAAATCAGTTTTTATAAGAATTTTTTTTGTCAAAATGCAAGATGATAGTTCAGCATAGTTTCGTTTGCTGCCCATATACCCCAGGAAGTGCCTTGATATAATTTACAGATGGAGGTAATTCTGGCAACAATCTCATGGCTCTAGCCAATTAGAATTTCCAGTTCCCCTGACTATACAGCGTCTTTCCTCAATGTACAGCCTGCTGAGAATGAGTTAAAAACACAGTGGTGTCCCTAAATGTGGGTCAAGATTAGCAATGGATGAAATCAGCTGGGATAAAATAAGACCGGGCCCATGAAAGGTGCTGAGCAAGAGATAAAAATCCTCTGTTTATCCTTGGAACAGGTATGCAGGATGTACAGCTGCAGTGCAAGCTTCCCCAGACATTCTCCAATATACATCAGCCATACTGAAGATGGACAACGTGGCTGATGAATGAGTGAGATTGTTATTCAACTGCCATTCTAAAATGCTGAAGGAGTTTGAATTTGAGGAGCTGGTTTGGCCCATCATTGCACTATGCAAGCACCACACATTGAACTGATCAAATCAAATCCTCTTTTACCATGTTGAGATAAATAAGTTTTTTATTTAAAAAAAGAAGCTTCCTAAGCATTGGATGGTGTTTTAGCCACACAAACCTTGTTGATTTAAATGGGATTCTTATGGCTAAACCCCTCTAACGGCATCAGTGAGAAGTCCTCTAAAATTTCTCTATAGGCCTTAAACAAGCAAATTTCTGTCAGTTCAAATTAGGGCCAGCATCATTATAAACTGCTGTCCACACTTCCATGAGTTTTTGACATATTATATGGAAGGAAAGAGGATATGGAACAGCAAATTGTTCAGTTGCTCCTGATTCTTTGTATGTATCTGAACAATCATTATGGCTTCTGTTCAATAACAGTGTCCACCTGATATAGTTCATGTGTTACATACAAAATGCCTCTGCTTATTTGCAAAGAAGCACTTGTTTGTTAAGTAGGATATGATTATATGGAGGAAAGACTGGAGTTCTGAGTGCAAATTACGGTGGAAATATATGTGTGTAATGCAAATGTAACAATTTGTCTTTTATGTTGTGGGGCGAATATAACAAAATGGTGGTTGCTTGTACATAATTATATTTACACACTGAAATGTCAGGCTGTGTTCTGGGTGTATTTTTTCCACAGCAGAGCTGAAATGTTCAAAGTTATACCTGAAACCCCACCTTTTACTCCTCACATTGTGTCTAGAATTTGCAGCTCCTGTGGTAATTTATGCCTGTATAGTGTTAATATTCTCTGATACCTTTTCAGCAACTAGGCACAAAAGTATGAATTAAGGATACTATTTCCTTATCCTGAGCACCCTGAGTCTGTGGGTTTTAACCTTCAAAATGTTTGAACATTGCTTTTGTTTCTGCTGTTGCTATTTTATAGACCATCTTAAAAAAAAATTAATTAGGGTTGTGCACTGAGGTGATTACTAAGGTACCAAGGGTGAAGGAATTTGTCTCCCCTTCCAGGCAGTGGGATGGCAACAAGATCTTTCCAGAGCCCCTACAGCAGAACTGAGGTTGTGGACCCCTTTCTTGGGGAAATGGCTGGTGATCTATGTAATAATGGATGCATTAGCACTGCCCATTCTCCCTCCTCTTTTGGCTTAGCCCTTTTCCATCTCCATCTCCCCCCCTTATGTCGAGTACATTCACTAGGAGAAAGCGTATTTGAACAGGAAGAGGAGATGGTGTGGTGGCTTTTAGGAAGGGAGGAGAACGAACCTTCCTCCCTTTACCCCCAGAGTTGGGAGGGGCAAAGAGAGGAGCCGATGTGAGAGAGCCTGAAGGATCAGGGGAGTGGGAGGCTTGTTGCCTGCATCTCAGCAAATCTGAGATCCTCGTGGGGTCAAATGTAGGATTTGAACTCAGGTCCTTTATCCCCAACCACCCATGGCAGGGCTGGGCTACTAGTAAAACCTCTAATCCTGAGCTTGGGGTGTCTAGGTTGGCCCAGGAACATGTTTAAAAGCTGATTCTGATCCAGCAGGTTATACTAGCCTATTGTAATATTACAGACTCTAGGGTTCTTAAATCTGTGGCTTTTTTAGCTTCTGTGCACATGCATGGAATCCAGGAGCTAAAGCAAATGTTTATGTCTAATTTTTAAACCCCTAAAAACAAGGGGATTTAGCAGAAAAGCTAACAGATCCTTAACTTAAACAATACTACTGGTACTGTAATATTAAAGATTAACATGAATAGCAAAGGTTGACCATGTGCTCGCCAGTCTCTTACAAGATGCATTACTGTTGAGAATTCAGAAATTACTAAAAAATCACTTGGTATTACTAAGCAAATCACCTGATTATCATTAGGTGTGCTTCCCCCTAAGACCTTAGTTGTTTTCCATGTAAAAAGCTGCACTCATAGATTCCTTGTGGATTAAAATTACACACAGAACCCACACTCCTATCTGTGAGTCAAGCATTTAGTGCAGTAGGTGACCTCACCAATAAGTAATATTTTAATTATTAGGGCATGGAGAATAGAAATATTTTCAGTTCCAAAGGCTGATGTATCAGAGCCTCATGCTAAAATAAAATACATTAAGAAAAACTATCATTGGAGGAGTTTAGTATCTTTAAAAAGAGAGAGAAAGAGGACACTCAAGGAGCTTGGGAGACCAGTTATTTCTTGTGGGAACTCTTTCTGTGAGGTGGAGATAGCTGCTCCTAATCGCAAACAAAACTAATAAAACCACAGCCTTCATTAGGCAGGAAGTGACAGGCCCTCATTGGTACACATAGATTACGGTCTGAAAACGGCCTATCCTTCTAACCTGCCAAGTTTTACTTCTGTTTTCCTCTCCCCTGAAGGTTTTTTTTCTCCTTCTTTAAATCATATGAAAAACATCGACAGCCAAAGCTTATTAGCCAGATGTTATTAATAGAAAAAGGGAAATTTTGTTTGTTCTTTAACAGGGAATCTGCTCATCTATCTCCTAAAAAAGAATCCCAACTGTAATGAAAGTAATCGGACCAATGAAGTAAACCAAATGATTCTAACAATCAACTATTTGAAAATAGCTTATACAGTACATCATTTTGTTAAGTAGCCCTTTTAGAGACCTTTAGAAACAGTTTGCAAATTGATTTAGCAGGGCTGAACTATGAAATATACCTTTAACTCTAGTGGAAGCTTTTTCTTTTTCTTGTATAAACTTTATATTGCTTAGTATAAAAATATAGAGGATAAAAAAAAGTTTCATGGTAGCCATATATAAAAGTAGCAACTCTTACAGTAGGAAGACAATTGCATAATAAAGATCTTTCTGTTATTTCCTTTCTATGTTAATGACATACTACAGTGAATTTTTTCCTAAAACCAATCACATTTGTTGCCTGGCCAAATAACAACTCTGTAGTTAGTTCTACCATGTGAGTGACTTGGCTATGAAGTCTTCAGGTCATCTAGAGTTGGAGAACCTTACAGGGGTAACATGCCCAGCCTTCAGGAACAAGAAGCATTTTGTATTACTTAGCAGTGACCTCTCAGGGCAATCCAGAAGTATTCATAATGCTCTCCAAAAAAAGTCCCATCTGGACTTCCTTGGTCAAATGAAGGTCATTGTGATGTGGTCTTTATTGAGGGTGTGTCACAGGGTGAGTTGGTGCTTTACAGGGATTGGCGTTCAGCCTCACCTGAACCCAGACTTAGTTCATCTGCTTAGATGGAGGGCTAAGTCACCTCAGGGACCTATCCACACTCAAAGCTGGTGGTTGACCAGGGAGGGGAAACTGAGGCAATACACTGTGGGAAATTGAGTCAACAGACAGTACCAAAGCCAGACCACATAAGTCCTTACTACAAGGAGCATGTCAAAGAATTACTCCTAACATCCTCCCAAAACAGTTAATATTTGTTATTTAGAGATAGGGTTTTCAAAAGTGCACAGTGAAGCAAGAGCAAAAGCCCCACTGAAAGTCATGTGATTGAAAGTGACTTTCACTACATTTTTTTTTATTTTTCACAATAGCCAGATGTAAAGTATATTATTTCATATTGAAAAGTACATAAGAACATTCAGATAGAGATTGGATGGCTCTGGGGATTAACAATGGGTTATATGATCTTTCACTTCTAAATCACAGGCTCAAATCAAGCTCAGTTGGAAGTGACCACTAATTCTTACCATCAGAGGTTTTGGTGGTGTAGAGAAGACAGTATAGTTTCCTGTGGAAAGATGTCCACATCACAAGAACAATCCTCACAAATGGCACTAGCTAGTACTCTTATCAATGATCTCAGCAGAAAGGACAAGGTCTCAGATATCACAGCGACTCACCTACCCTCTCTTCCCATTAGCCAGTCCCTTCAAGTTACAGCTGAAGCACCTGAACCGGGCAATTTGGAAAAGTTTGCATCATTGCTGATTCTGAAGTATTTGTGCTATGTACAGAGGACTTTGTTGTTCTGGACCGTCAAGTGGCATCTTTCACTCAAAGTGAAAAAGATTAACCAAAAATGTTCTGCTAATTGGATGGCTCAATTTACTAAACACCCTGACATCACTTGGCTTTGTCACAGTCTCAGTTTGGGTGACATTATGCATATATTTTCTGCCCAAACTACAGGTGCAATGATGTTCTTCTCTACTAATAAAAAGAAATGTAACTGGATATAATTATTGTAGTGTTTAACTGGTAAATTGTTTGAATAAAATATAACACTTCCAGGACCTTATTCTGCCATTGTTACTTATTTGTTACTCAAGCAAGTCACCTGTGGAAGTCAATAGTAATTGTGAATGAGTCAGGCTGAGTGACTATGCCTTCTGAATAAGACCCTCAGATAGTAAAACATTAGCGAGCCAGATGCTTAATTGGTTTAAATTGGTTCTGTTGACTTCAGCTGAATATGTGACACAAGAAGCATATTCACTCCTTGACAGTCATGGGAAGCTCTCTTTGGCCCTATTTACATTAGGAAATTGTGCCAAGCTGAAAATTTGTTTTCAAACACAGCTCCCTCTGACCACCCTCATTCAAAAGTAGACATTCAACTCTGTTCCAGAAAATGTAGACAAGTCCAAGATTCTTTGGGAGGCAGGCTTTGAGAAGGGTCTGATCTGGTCTACATAGTCTGGCTAGGTGTATTTTCAAGATCAGTTTAGGGGGAAGTTATCCTCTAGGATGCCTTTAAAATGCAGCTTGTCTTCTAGTGTAGACAGGGCCACTGATAGCTGTTACGTGGGTGTATAGAAAGGAAGGTGTTCCTGTTATTATTGAGGTTTATTTTAAAGAATGACTAAAATAAGGGTTCTTCCCACCACCCAACCCACAGATTTTCTTAGGATTTGGAAAAAAAGGTTGAGTCCCAACATAGGCCAGCCATTACGTGCAATATTCTTCCTTGCTCCAGGAAGAACCTCTTGCTTGAGAACCTCTAATCATGAAGAAGTTGTGGGCATTTCACATGGTCTGTGATTTCTCAGTCCCACAGTCCACTACTCCAGAGTAACTATTACATTTTAAATGGCAAAGCAATGAGACCCTTTAGAGGGTGTCTGGCTTTTGTTTGAAAACAAATCTTCAACAAGGCACAATTTCCTATTTTAGACAGGGCCAAAGGAAGCTCCCCATGACTGTCAAGGAATGATTACACTTCCTGGGTCAGATCCTCAGCTGAAATCAACAGAATAACACTGATTTAAACCAATTAAGTGAGAGAGGGCTGTAGGCCTCATGTCTATGCCCAGAAGATGATTTCTGACTGGTTTCCAGGAAGAGTGGGACGCCTCTTTTCTGGATTAAGAGTAGAGTATGATCTATGGGGCTGTCAGCTGACAGATCTTGTAATACCTTTCTCCTAAAGAGGAGACCCAAGGCCAGAGTACAAAGCAGGAAGAAGAGACGATCAGAAACTGGAAAGGAGTGGTATGTGGCAATAGGCCACAAGTTTTCCCCCCTCCAAGGAGACAACACAACAAGTAGGAAGGAGTCAGGGCTTGTTATGGTCAGAAAAATGTGTGCAAAGATAGTCACAAAGCCTGAGAGGGGACCTGAAAGATTCTGGTAATGGTAAATCAGATAAGAATCCAGCCTTTTTTCTGAATCAAACATCTGAACCTTTCCATGTCCAATTACTCCAAATACCATGTATGAGTCATCACCGTATGAACATATATTTTAAAATCACTTGTTTTTTCAATATTTGTTATTTTCAGTTAGGTATAGAAATATTATTAAGGATATATATCATGATAAACTGTGACTCCGTTCTAATCCACTCATTACTTTTTCATGCATAAATCTAATGTATGAAAAAAATCATTGACATGTTTCTATTTTTCTATTATTTTCTCCCACAAGAATTAGGAAGTACATTTCTTCTGTTATTTAGTAAGGACACAGTAGGTTTTATGTGGGTGTGTACCAGCATTAAGGATGTGTGAGTAATAACATTTGGGTACCATCTTTTATAATAACATTTCAAGAAGGCAGTACCTATGAATCAAACATTATAATGGGATGCATAACAACTTACCTGTGCTGGAAAACATCTACATATTTAAGTGTAAATCTAGCAGAAAGCAAGGTGAATGTAGTATAATGCATGAAAATCAGCTATGTCAAGGATGGCAAAGGATCTTATGCCCTTTGGGAAGAACATGGTCAAACTCCAGAATTCATTTGGATAGAAAAATAGTAACAGAAACTTTTTACGGCCTTTCACAGCTATAGAAAAAAAGAGATGGCTCAAAAATGATGACTGTTAAATATCTATGTTCCCTTTCTTTTTCCACAGAAATGTATGGATTTTAAGAAGGGAAAGAATGTGATGTGGAAAGTAGAAAAAAAAAGATTAGCTAGAAACAAAATAATCTCACAGATATGCATTTAAACTGTGTATCTGTACATATATGGGGGGTTGTGTGTGTCTTTCTGAAAAGATATCTGGATTCTCTGAAGTATCTTACTCTCTATTCCCTGTGAATATGGGGTTGTCATCCTTATTATCTTGGCCCAGGTATCTTGGCCCAGGTACTTTAAACTCGTTCATTCAGCCTGGCTGTGAAAACGTCTCCTCACAATGCTAAAATCTATTAGCTTACAAGAATGCAGTTAAAATGTGTGAGGTTGAGGCATGGTGGGGAAAAGAGAGATTGAGTTTTCACTGAATACCCAGATTGTACCATTGTAATCAAATTTGGGGGATAGGGAGTGGGAATTGAAAACAGGACAATTATTCAAACATTTCTCAATTGTTCAGCTAGACAAGTAAATAAATTGTTTAGCCACTTCTTCCCGTCATGCACAGCTAATTCTAAATGACACAGAACAAACATGATGTTCAAATGGACCATTTCCCTTACCTGTACCATTGTTTCCAGTGGTCTGAATTGTGGCTTCAGGCCCCATAGTGTCATATTCCTCCTTCATTTCTTCTGTAAAATAAGCACATACATTTTTAGCATTTGCAAATTATTGAACAGCTCACAAAGCTAGCAAGCACACTGCAGTAACAAGGAAGATTCCTTTAAAGGAAACAGAGAAAAGGCCTGTTCTAAGTCTCTATACAATGGCTTTGTTCTTGCAATTGAATGAATTCAATCATGCTAGCTGGACAAGAACTTATTTACTTTAAACATTACAGCAAGTGGTGAAAACCAGAGGTATTTATTTGGGCCAAATGAAGGCCTTTTTCTGATATCAAATCCAATAAGCAGTGAGGTGGAAAAAAGCTTCTTATTTTTAATAATCAGTCAACTACAAGTTAATTATATTTACCTGGGAAGAACAGAAATGTTATATGAAGTGATGGTAAATACAGAAGAAAGGGTTCTGGACAGCAGATCTATCTATTAAGAATATTATCATACACCTGGTATTTGATTTATCATCCTCATTTTAACGATATAGACTTGGAGTGAGGAGTGTATTAAAATCAGAGGGTGCAAAAATTTCTAAATTTTAAACCGTGAACAGCTCCATTATGTCTGCTTAATTTGTCTATGCTCCCTTTGCATTTGCAAAGTATAGATTCATGCTCCAAAACTGGATTATTTCACATGGAAATTAGTACTTATTGTACAGAATTATCTGTCTATCCATCTATTTGTTATGGACCAATTTAGTTTTGGTAAAGTTGCTGGCGTGGAAGGTATTTTAAAATAGGGTTTATAAGGAGGAGCTAGCTTCAGCCTACTAATGGATAGAATATCTTTT